GAGAAGGGTCAGGGGGCCAGGCACGGCTGCGTGCCACCTGAGCCCCAGGTGCAGTTTTGGCAGGGGACAGGCCCCGTGAGGGGCAAGAGCGCCAGAGGTGTAGAGACAGGCCCCAGCGAGGGGAAGAGCACAGGAAGCGCATGTCAGAGGCCCGGGGGGGGCCAGCCTGCAAAAGTAAAGCCCAGGAGGGGCTAGTATAAGATTGGAGACACTAAAAATGTCCGGAAGAGCTGTGAGGCTTGGGGCGTGCTAAAGGGGAGGTAGGAGGCACACATAGCCCATAAGGCTGGGGTGCACCAAGTCACCCTGAGATCATAGGAGATCCTAGGCAGCCTCCCATATTAACTATTAAGATCAAAGACGTGGCGGGCAAGAATTAAGAGGGTGCTGGATCTCCTAATTGGCACAGCAGGGGGACCTAGCAGGATCATGGCCGCTCGTAGGCCCCACCCTGTGACAGGGAGTTTCTTCTTTATTGCTCCTTTAAAAAATTGTCCACTTACTAGTGAAGTGTATGCTAATTAGGTTACCTGGCACTCCTTTCCTGGTGTCGACACATGAGAAACGCAATTGCTACTGTTGATACAATTATTCTTCAATTTTACTTCCCATAACATCTGCTGCAATAAACTGATTCCTGGTGTTTTTGCTTGATATTTAAAAATATCATTTCCCTTTTGCTGTTGGGGGACTATGAAGAGGAAGCATTTTCTGTTCTCTTTTACTGTAACCTACTTCAGAGGCTGAATCTTGCTTGCATGAAGGGAAATGACAGATTCTGATCTCAATAAGACCAGACATGGGCGCTCAGATGTATTGATAAAGGTAAACTGTAATGACTTCTTACAAAATGGAGGCTCAAAGGGATTTTCCAAATGCTTATTAGAAATATTTCTTAAAAAATGTCAATAGCCACTTCCATGTGAAGCATCAGAATTTCAGAAGATATAAGACTTATAGCTGCTTTAATCCAAATTGAATCCAAATTGATAACATTTTATACCCACTTTGCATGGGCACAGTGGAGCCCCAGAAGTTCTGCAATTCATTCTGTACTGTAGAGGCCCAACTGTGAAATTCTTGAATGCTCTTGTGCAATAGCATCTTACCATCTGGAAAGTTGAACTGGTAACAAAGATGGCCAAAGACAATTTGTTAATAGGAGCTGATATTCTTTTTGTTTGTTTGTTTGTTTGTTTGTTTTTAATATTTCTTTTCTGGTTTAACCACATTCTTTTAGGCATTTACATGTCTTGTTTGTCACTGAAGTAGTGTTGACTCTCTTACTGTAGAGTTACATGATCTTTTGCTTGTTTCTTTTCTGATTTATAATCAAATTCTTACAGACTCTTACTCCAGGGTACTTGATATCACAGCAGCCAACCAATTGATTCTATGAGATCCCAAATATCTCTTTTAAAATTCTCAGTACAGTTGCTAATTTTTTGGCTTTCTAACTAAGCAAACTCTAGAAATAGCTTTCTAGACTTCTGTGGAATTCTTTCCAACTATTTGAGTTGGTTTAATAAAAGATATTGGATTTGCCCAAAGAACCTTGCCTGCTTATGTCTTTAGACCAACACGGCTACAACCAACACCCATGAAATTCTTTTGGAACACTTAGACAACCCTCGTACAAGAAAATTCTCGGGTAAGAGCAGATCAGTCAAGACTGAAGAGCCATTCAATGTCTACAGTCCAGTGATTTAACAACCAAGGTCATTCATGAAAGTATCAGAAGCTTGTCAACTATCATAGAACAACATTTCAGAAATAAGTTTTTGAAAGGAAGAGGTTAACAGATTTTAGAATTAAATAATAGAAGAATTTGAATTATATCTAACAGACACTTGACTGCAGCTCCTGGAATACAACATTACCTTCAAAGAAGACAAAGTTGAAGATCTGAAATCATAATCTGTTGGTCCAAGGAGTAGAACTGCACTTATTAGAGCAAAGAAAAATATACAGAAATGAAGATATGGGTATCTTTAATGCAGTGTACCAAGGCATCTTTAAAAGGACACAGACTTTTTTGGTTTAATAATCCTGAAGAAGAAACTCTGAAATATATTATGTTAATTCTGATATGTGATAAAAATACTAATATTACTTGTTAACTGTTGATATTTAAACATATTTTCTTAGTTATAAAGAATATGTTTAGCTTCAATATTAATTAATCAGGGGTATCTTTTGTCATAATTTGATTACAGTCTAACCATGTTGGTCTAATCTAACTTTGTAATCTAGAAAGTATATACTAGTCAAGAGAGCCTACTTATAGTCTTTCCTTTTACACAGAGACCTGCTATTATCAATGTCTTTTTTTTATATGTTTAATATTATTTCTAGCTTTCTGGATGTATTCTACAGGAGATTCTATTTTATCTTAGAGAAAGCCACAAATCATAATATTCTACAAACAATGACTATACAGTACTTCATAATTTTAAACGAACAAATACAAGATTTCTCTTGAGCCTTAGATGCAATGATGTTTATCATGGTTTGGGTGAAACTTTGCAGCTAAAGATAAAAACATTTATCTTGTACATATTAATAACCACCACCAAACTGTTCTGCAGTGCAGTTCATCATCAGCTATCCTCTATTTTGCACAGTCCCTATTCATATTGTAAAACCTTCCGGTTTACATGTACATACCATGTTAGAGACCTTGTTCTTTGATACACATCCAGTGGGATTCTGTTTCATTGCTTTTTAATGCTGACAGTCCCCCATCAGCACTTCAATACTTAGAAGTACAAATCTCACCCAGTTTCAACAAACTAATAATGCTAAATCTGCAATCCCTTTTATGCTCCTTACATCAAAGGACTGCAAGTGCTACTATATCTATAATACCATTATCTATGTTTGGCAAAGCTAGCTTGACAAAAATCAATGCCCTCCCCAAGAATTTTACTTACTACAGAGACTGAAATGTGTGGAACAGTTCCCATCAACTTCTGTGGGTTTTTGATCAGCCCCTGTGTTCCAAACTGCTTGTGTTTTACAACAACTTAGAACAGCCCACGTGACAAAGTAAAATTGCCTTCTGTTACTCTTTCCAGTCTGATTTATAGTGAAGACATTTTGTTCCCTCAGGAAATCAGTCACCCTTTGATGTCAAGGACCACTCTAGAAATAGGAAAGCAAAAAAAAAAAAATCAAAGCACATTGTTACAATGACGAAGTATTCAATAATTTCTCCGATATGCAGGATATGCCAGAAAAACTGTTGAACACTGGAGCTTTTTCAAGAACATAATGCTATTTAACTTTGAACAGCTCAGAAGTAATTTTAATCCACCTTGTTAGGGTTTCTATATATATATTTGCAAGTTACACATTCACTGGGCTGAATTAATAAAGGAGAAAGGAACCGTTCAGTGAGTAGTCTAACGTAGATACCTGTCTATTGCAGTTTCTTTAGAAATAGTCACAAATATATGCCCCATGTTCATTATACTAGATTTGAGAATTTAAAATTCCTCTGCAGAATAAATAGCTGTAGAAAGCACTTCAAATATTCCTTAAAGACTATTTACTACACTTGCAAGTGAATACAGTCCTTTGCACTATAGCAATTTACTATTGTCTTTCAATTCTGATCAAAATTAATTCTCATCTATATTAAAAAAGAGAGTTAATGGGGATATAGAAAATGTATTCATGAAGAATGTTGGGAAGTCTTTTTGAATAATGGACATCTATACACGTGACAGACCTCTGCTCCAATTCGTGCTAATTAGTGCACTCTGGCAGCCTCCACATTATATGTATTCAGTATCCCTGAATTTCAAAATGGTGGTGGGGGCATTTTAACTAAAGCTTGTCAAATGAGCTTCAGTTAAAGTGCCCTGCCACTATTTTGAAGTGTGGGATACTGAATCCATGTCATGGGTGACTGGTGCCTCCTGGCTCTGAGTGGGGGCACCAGCGACTGATCACTGACAGGGGAGGGGTCCCTCAGAGGCTGTTTGCTGACCCCAGAAGCAAACTGGAAGTGCTGCCAGTGCTTCTTGGGGGGGGCACTGGCCAATGCTCCCCACTCCCTGCCAGCGAGGGCCAATTTCACGGGGGGCACATGCCCCCCCTACACATTGCCTATGATACACATAGTGCTGTGGGTGCTTTAATTATAGTGGCCTCAGAGACACTCTAATTAAAGCACCCTCCCTCCACCCCAAAGCATGAGTCTAGATGCCCGTAATGTTTGTGACCAGCTTAGGTTCTAAATGTGATTATTGATCCCATCACCAATAATGTGGGTATGGAGATGTTATGACATTGATTTTTAGACACTGATCTACCATTAATTAATTTTAGACATTGATTTAATACTTTCCATGCTGGCAATCTAACATTTTCCATGTCAGTATTTAACCTTTTGTGATGCATTCTATAAATTGGCACTTGGGACCAAGTCTCCTGCACAAGTCAGAACATGAAGTTTAAGATGTTAAAAAAAAAAAAAGTAAAAAAAACAGACCACAGCAAACCCCTTACCTAAATTTGCTGACTGTGTCAATGGAGCCCACATTTTGTTTGTGGCAAAGTGCAAATTGAACTTACCTTAAACATCTGAAAGTGAATCACTGTTGTTAAGAATACAGCTTGGATGCATTTTGGATAGGTATGCAAGTCTCCCAGGAGTCAATACTAAAATCATCCAACCACCACAGGAGCTTCTGGGTATGGCACACAATGGCTGTTATCTGTTTTCCCTTGAACATTGCATGAAGGAGACCAAGGGAAATATGGGGAGGCAGAACAAAGGTCAGCAGTGAAAAAGCAGGTTTAAGAGAGCTCTCTATCTGAGGGAAAGGGCAGAGGAAGTGCAAAGACAGAGGGGCTTGTATACCTGTGGATTTCTGTCCACAGGAAGGGGACCACATAGTGCATGATTAATGGAAAGAAGGGAAGAATGAACCCATCTGATTTGTTTTCATTCTCCAGGCTGAGAGGTGCAAAAGGAAAGCAACAGGTAACTTGAAAGTTTCCTTTAAATCTGTCAGTCATTGTCTGCCTGAAGGCAGTCTGGGTTACAGTGATTAAGATGGGTCATCTTCTTTAATCAATGACACACAAGGAAGTGGTACGGTTAGCTTCCTTACCTAGTTTCCTCTGGCTCCCCAGTCCAAACCACTGAGTACCCATTCACAACTGCATCAGGTGGAGATGGCTTTCTTACAGCATGAGCCTGGATTTCTAGCAAGACAACTGCCACCCTTTTTAACCTTTATGTTCTTAAAAATTCTTCTAGAATTAAAAAGCCACAATGTTCTTACTTATTAATATGATCTGCAGTCATTAAAACATGTATTTTGACTTTTAAATAATTTTATTGTTATTTTGCTGTGTGGGACTTTCATAATATCTAAGTCCCTTAGGAAAACAAGTTCCACTGGGAACATCTACATGTGCATTAATGTGCTGTAATTACAGCTCATTAATTTTAGTACCAGTAATAACAGGCACTAACTGAAGGTGCCATATTCAGTGCTACTGAGTAGTAGCACTGGTGCACATCTTTTATGTGATGCTAATGCACAGTAGCTTAATTCTACTGTGCATTCATGCATTAGCACAGCTTTTGCTGTGATGCACTAATGCGCAGTAGTTAAGTCTACTGCATTTCTAGTGCCTAGTGTAGATGCACCCATTGACTGTCATCCAGTATCTAAACCAGTATTTTCAGGACAAACAATGCTTGTGTTCTGTCAAAAACACACAGCTCAGGTAAATAATTGAGTAACAATCCCAACCCTTCATAAAATTTGGCAATAAGGAAGAATTTTCAGATCAATTTAATTACATATTTGTCTTATGTGTTGTTTTGCTGCATGATCATGGGGCAGATACAAGCAAAAAGCTTCATTTGTGCTGAGTCTGTCATTTCTGCTCCCTCTCTGCTGTACTTTCTTCAAATGCTCTCTAATGCATTTTCCTTGCTTTAAGAAAGTATTCGCACAGTGAACTAGTGCATTTTTTGCAAGAAAATATAAGACATTCTCCTTGCTTTATCTAGAGTTGCAAAAGACTCAGCAACTTAAAAATTTCAAGACAATTTAAGGTACACATTCAGATTAAAGCATAAGGGTAGAAACAAATAAATGCTATTTGTGTTACTAACAGTAACTGATACAAACAACTACATTTTTCACTATTTCTGATTTTTACCTTTTCCATTTGGGCATTAAAGTCAAATACAAACTGAATATGTTGGCCTCAAAACCTGAAGAGAAAATCATTTTAACATGTTTCTGTGGTCCCTCACACACCTCTTATGATGTTCACTATTCTTTTCAAATTGAGTTTATGAATTGTCACAATTTATTTCATTACTAAATTTGACATATTATTCTGACAGAAAATAGAAAATATAGATATACAATTTTATACCTATGTCTAATATCTGAAAGATATCAGATTTTAAAGACAAACAACAAAGATGGTGCCATAGAGAGTTTTAATAACGCTCCCATGCTCTGCTAGAGAACAGTTGCATTTTGACTTCACGCTGTTCCAAACAGGCGTGCCCAGCCACCTGTATTTGCTGCCTTCCTACTTTTCTGTTTCCCTTCTGCCAGTTTGCAGCCTCATGAATTCAGCAGGACAGCAGGTGTACTCCACCTAAACACACAGAATAATTCAGCAGTGTTCAGCAGAAACATTCCACCTTGCACATTTTAAAGCAATCAAAAGGTTACAGAACAACAGGAGTGACGCAGTGATCCATGTCTGTGCATGATCAGGGGGCACTCTAACTTTCTGTGTGCCAATGACACAGCACACTCATGATGTTTCCTTTTAATTGCATACTCATTACGTATCATAGCTTGTGGTAGGAACTGCAGGATTTACACCATTGTTTGTCTGTGTGTATGTTAACAGAGTTGTTGCTTTAGCAGAGATCCTCTTGTCATTCAAAGATACTGATGTGGATAAGAGACTGCTATATATTTTAGAAATGTAACGAGTATCACGTGATAGGGGTTGCCATGGTATCTAAAAGCATGACATTTTTATAGAATACAGAAAAAAAAATCCTGCACAAGTCTTTGGCCACTTATAGTGTGTATATTATAGAGGTCTCACTACTTGGTTAAAATTCAAGCTCAGAAAACAATTCTCCGCATTGCGGTGCTTTGTATATTTTAACAGCCAAAACCCTATAACAATACCATTAAAAAAGTATATAATTGTTAAACAAATATTACACGTTAAGAACACAAACAATTTACATTTTACTTAAATTAGAGAGAAAAAATTATATATAATATAAATTATGTAGAAGGCCAATTATGTGCATGATGGATAATAAAAAATATAAGTGCAGAGAGTACTTGGCCCAGTTGTCTTTTTAGATGTTATAAATTGTTTATGAAGTGTCTTTCCCTATTTTCATCAAATCTTCTTGCAGCAGAGATCATGTGTGCTTCTGTGTGCAATTTCCTCTGTCTCTGGAGAGAAGAGATTGTGCCGCAGTTTACTTTGCTTGGGTTACACTGCAGCATGATTTTTTTTAAGGCAGGCACTAGAATAGATCTATGTTTCATGGTGAAGCAGCTCTGGCTCAACAGTGGAAAAAGAAAAATATTAAAAATGTGAAGGGATGGAGACTGTAATGGATCACAGATATAAAACCTATCTGTGTTTTGGGATCAAGGAAAGAAGTATTTCAACATGTTTCTGCTGCTCTCCCCCCTTGCCTCTCCCTCCCCGCCCCCCTCCCCAAAATATTAATAACGCAGAGGCTTGGCAGCCATTAAATATTCCTGTACTGCAGATGTAATTTTTCTCTTAACGTACCTTAAAGCCAGAAAAGCTTTTTTGAATTCTTTTTTATAGGAAGAGCAAATTAGTAATTTGATTACTCCAAAACAATCAACACATGAAGGCCTTTGGTAGGTGATTTTTAATGCTACTTTGTTGTTTTTGTCTGCCTGGTTCCTCATC